CTCCTGCTGATAATAGCGCATCTTAATTAGCCTCTTACAGTTTGTATGGCAACTTCTACCTTCTCTGTATGTATATATATCTTCTTACTATATGTTCCATTCTGTGCATCCGATGAAGTGGGCTGTAGCCCACAAAAGCTTATGCTCTAATAAAATTGTTAGTCTCTAAGGTGCCACAAGTACTCCTGTTCTTTTTGCGGGTACAGACTAACACAGCTACTACTCTGAAACCCATCCTACAATATGCTCCTAAAGGCCTGGTATACACTGGGGGGGATCAATCTAAGTTACGCAACTTCAGCTACATGAATAACATAGCTGAAGTCGACATACTTAGATCTACTCACCACGATGTCTTCACTGCGGTGAGTCAATGGCTGACTCTCTCCCGTCGACTCCGCCTGTGCCTCTCGCTCTGTTGAAGTACCGGAGTCGACGGGAGAGCACTCAACTGTTGATTTATTGTGTCTAGACTAGACGCGATAAATCGACCCCTGCTGGATCGATGGCTGCCCGTCGAGCCTGCGAGTAATGTAGACAAGCCAGTGGTTAGGGCACTTCTGTGGAAGTGGGAGATTCAAGTTCAAGTCCCTACTCTTAATCAGGCAAAGTGGGGATTTGAACTTGGGTCTCCCACATCCTGGGGAGAAATGCTCTGACTGGTGGATTGGAAGGGGCAGCACCACCACTTTGCTGTCTTTTGTGTGGGTAGGCATGCTAATGGATGAGGGCTATAGGTGAGCTGGGTGGGGGAAGCACCTACTTTGTGAATACCATTGGGGCTTAGGCACTGAGCAGCTTGGCAAAATCAGGATTTAAGCAGCTGTATGTATGCCCACCGGGGACTTTACCGGTAGAAACTTAGGTGCCTATGAATTTAGGCACTACAGTACATGGTTAGGAGGCAGCTGAGTTGTGGTTTTGTGAATCCTAGTGGTGTCTAAATGTTGGCAGGTAAGTGTGTAAATCCCCTTTGTGAATCTAGCCCTTGGGGTGAAATCCGGGTCCCGCTGAAGTCAAGAGGAGTTTGGCCCCACTGAAGTCAATGGCAAAAGTTGCTATTGACTTTAGTGGGACCAGAATTTCACCGTGAACCTCTAAAACAGTGATACTCCGACTTCAGTGGTTCAGGAGCCCAATTACAATCAACATTATCCAAAAGAGCCACAATAGTGTGAATTCATAGTTTCATTTACCATTTTTATATACATATATCTCTTTATATGTGTATATATTATTCTCACAGCCAAATGACTGACCAGGTATTATCTTATCAACTGCAGTTGGTTAGGAACATAGTAAAAGTATCCTGATTGGTTAATAACTAATTCACACAGTGTTTTAATATCATGTACTGCAAAGAACTGCGGGAGACACATTAAAGAGACACTCGCAGCTCTTGAGCCTCTGTCTGAGTATCACTTGTCTAAAATAGAGGAGAAGGGGTGCTTCCTTAGTAAAATATGGACACTCCAAATCATGATTTGAGGAATATGACTTTGTGTGAGACAGCTTGTACTACCACTGCTTGTTTTGTACCTGTTATGAAACCAAAGAGTACATGAGTCTCCTATTCAGACAAGATACCACCTTCATAAATCTTAAATTCACATACATTTTTTCAAAAAGAAGCAATATTTGAAAAATGTTTGTATATCATCAGTGATGTTAAGAGAATAAGGGGTGAAATCCTGGCCTGACTGAAGGCAATGGGGGCTTTGCCTTTGACTGAAGTGGAGCCAGGATTTCACCCTAAAAGTTTGTTTCTCTCTTTATGAACAGATTACGTTTAAAAAAATGTTCCGTTCATGATTTGCTTTACAAGGTTTATCTGTAGCCTGGATTAATTTTAAGTGGGAAATTAATATTTATATTTAATACAGGTCAAATCTAAGGAAGAAATAATCTTACTTTCTTCTTTGAGTAATTGACCAGATGCACATTCCACTGATGGTGCACAGTCATCTTGTGCATTAGCAGTCAGAGTCTTTTTGGCCAGCAGTACCCCTAGTGTGTGCATGTGCTCTTCAGTCTTCTTGCTCCTCTGCAAGGGCATATAAGGACAAGGCACGCCCACTACCATTCAGTTCCTCTTCCTGCCTCATGGGTTAGAGATGGAGCCTATCCTCTCCTTATGGCTTTAGCTAATAGTTTTACAGTTAGTTTTATAGTATAGTTAGTCTTTTTAGTCGTTTAGTTGCCTGTCTAAATCTTCAGTTGTGAGAACTTGTCCATTCAGTATAGCATCATCTGGTTTGTCTGGGTTTAAACACTGCCTCTCGTGTAAGGGAGCATCCCAGAGGCGGACAGAAACTCAAAGTGCTTCTATTGTCTGGGAGAATCGCACATTCCCAGTAAAGGTGTGATCTGCAAGTCCTTCAGCTACTGAGCTAGAAAGGATAGAGCGGCCCTCCTTCAGGTCTTCCTAATGACCAAGTCAATGAGCCCTGCTTCTGAACTGGGCTCACTAGACCCCCATGCACAGGGACCTCTTGAATCAGAGTGTGGGCTCTTTGCCTTTGAGAGCTCTGACTCAAATTGCAACTACAATGATGGCATCATCCCCAGATAGACCACAGGGAGCTAGAAGTCTGAGGGGCAGGTCACCTACCAAAGCATCCTCTAATAGGAAAACCTCCTTATAGCACTGAACGCAGATTTCGCTGTTCAGAATGGTTCCCACTGAAGCTCAGCCTTGAGCCTGTTCCAACCATACAGCATCAAAGCATTTGGTACTTGAAACTGGAACCTTAGGAAAAAGAATGGCACTAACCCCAACACAGTCTACCTCAATGGCCCCGCACCAACTCTTCTGGAACCAAGCCAGTCAGGACAGTGCACTGTCACTGTTGCAGAGATTCCTACACCACCTTGACAAAACCTGGTTCCCATGCAGCCATCCACACTGCCATGCTTGGCATCAGTGGACCTGCAGATTCACCAAGAATCACAATATTCCTTGTTGTTGACTTCTGCACTACAGTCAGCCCCGACTCTATCTAGTAGTGTGGCACCATTAGTCCCTAACACTCTGAAGGCTACAGCACCGTCATGGATCTGAGCTATGCATTCTCCTCAGAATCATCTTCAGAACTGGGGGATGAGAAATTCCACCCCACAACATACTTACCCAGACTGTCGCCTTCTTATAGAGGATCCAGACACACCTCACAGGAAAGATATTGGGACCTACAGAATCCAGGCTCCACCAGGGTCTTACCCACCAATGCCCATGTGGCCTTGCTGGGGACCCTGGTCAGCTCAGAGCAACTTCAGCCCCAGAGAGCAACCATGCCACCAGAAAGCTGCCGCCTCCAGAGCACCACACATTGAGATGCCCCACCACCCTTTTCCAGTACCTACACAACCACAGTAGAGGAGGAGGTACTGGCCCCACAAATGAACAACTATAAGACCCATTAAAAGGATGGCCAAGATCCTCCAAATCCCTGTTGAGGCAGTGGAAGAACAGACATATAAACTGACAGACATATTTCAAGGCTCCGCAGTAGGGAAGATGGCCCTCCCAGTTAATGAGGACATTATACATCCAGCCAGAATTTTGTGGCAGACACCTGCTTTGGCACCACCTACATCCCACAGATATCCAGACAAGAAATATCAAGTGCCTTCTATGGGTGCAAAATTATTTTACACGCATCCTATCCCATCCTCCCTTGTAGTCACAGCAGAAAATGAAAAGGCAAAACAATTCAGATCCACACCACAGGAAAAAGAGCCAACGAGCCCAGATTTATTTGGCTGGAAAGCCTACTCCTCAGCAAGCCTGCAATTCTGTGTAGCCAGTTATCAGGCCATATTAGCTGGATATGACTTTTGCATACATATGAGGCTGCTTCCCTTTGTCGACAACTTTTCCCACAACACTTATGAGGACTTTGTGTCACTAGTTAATGAGGGCCAGCTCATAGCCAGAATGAGCCTCCAAGCAGCCCTGGTACAGCAGATATGGCTGCCAGATCAATGGAAATGGCTGCCATCACGCGTTTGGTCATTGTGTTTTTTTTCACACCTCTGAGCGACAAAAGTTTTGCTGACATAAGTACTAGTGTAAATATGGCCTTACTGTGTGCAGTAACTGTAGTTCTTTGAGATATGTTCTCCATATGCACGTTCCGCAACCTGCCCTTCCATCCCCTCTTCCTTGGAGTCCTATTATAAGAGATGCTACAGTGAGAAGGAACTGAACGCCTTCAGAGAGGATAAAGAGTGTATGCACACCCTATAGGTGCTGCTAGCCAAAATAACTCAGATCTCTAGTACATAAGGAACCTGCGCACTAGCAGTGGAATTTGCATGTGGACAATACATCTCAAAGAACTCCAGTTACTATACATGGTAAGTAACTTCCCTATATTTTTAGAGACTGAAAGAGCTTTCTTTTATGGATATATGTATACTGTATACTCTACATGTAGAGGAAGATTTTCAGTGCACGCATGGGACTTGGTTGTATCATGAAATTGCTTTACAATGGGAGTTGGGTGCCTTTTGTGTCTTTGAAAATCTCCCTTGCAATTATTTAATTTCCTTATCATAGACAAAATAATCCGTAAGAGATGTTGTTTAAACCAAACCTTTCTTCTCACAGTCTTGATTCTTGGTGCACTGAACACTAGATAATCCTCCTCTTGTAGTAATGGAATAATTTTCATAATAAATTAAAAGAGGAGTTAAAAATATGGAAAATGTCTCCACAATATCAAATCAATCCTAAAGATTGTTAGAGAAACCCTCCCTATCAAGCATATTGTTTGTAGGAAAGACTTTGTTGCATTTCTGGTGTCTCAAATAACCACCAGCCACTCAACAAAAAATGTTTACCCATTTTAAAAACATTTTGCAGTGGTGATCACTGGGCATGATTTTAAAAAAATAGCTTTTCACAGATGCTTAATCTCAGTACTGAAATAGTTTTTAATTGATGTTGCCTTTCCATGAAATGTGCCCGTCCCATATTATGTTGCACTTTTTTATAGATATCAAAAAGTGCACCATATGCTACTGATAACATCAATTATCACAACACGAGAGAAGGATGTGAAAACCTAAAGAAACGCACGCCTGAAAAAAGTGAACATGTGAGAAGAATGTTGAAAGTAAATTCTATAAGAAATGCTGAAGCTGCAAGGTTAGTAACAAATACCATAAACCTTAATATTTGTTCTTAGAAAACACTGTGGGGGGCATGCTTCTGTTTTATGAGTGTGAAGATATAAATAGATTGCTTTGCTGTTCCACATAACAGAAACATCTTTCATCTTTATAGAACAAAATTAACTCGAGCTAGTAAAAAATAAAATCTAGTTCTTAACGGCTAAAATTCGTTCATGAAAAGAACAGTTATTCTCTCTTCAAGACTGGATCTGCATCTGAGCTGCATCCATTTCAGAATCCTTCATGTATGGTGCATCTGCAATAGCATGTGGTCATAATAATGATATTGTACTAAGGGCTTGTGTACACTTACAGGGCTGCAGCAGCACAAGTGCACTGGTGCAGTTGTGCTGCTCTAGCACTTAGTGAAGACACTACCTATACCAACGGGAGAGCTTCTCCAGTCACCGCAGGTACTCCACCTCCCCAAGATGCAGTAGTGAGGATCACTGGAGAAAGCCTCCTGTTAACATAGCACTGTCTACTCAGGGGGTTAGGTTGGTATAACTAGGAAAATCCACACCCCTGAGCAACATAGTTATATCGACATAAGTTCCTAGTGTAGACCAAGCTTTATGAACCTATCTTTGTACATGTTAAGGCAATGAATGTGGGTCAGAGAACTGGGCAGGGATTGAATGAAAGTGGTCTTTGTCGTCTGTCATCTGGGCTGAAAGGATCCCAACTAATTGATAGCCAACTCTCAAAAGGTTAAACTGGGATAAAAGTTTGCATGCTTATCTGAATTACTTTGGTCTGGGAACCTGGGTGTTTCTTCTCAATTCCCTCCCTCACTACTGGAAGCCTTCAAGAAGATACAGTTTCTCCTGTTATTCACCACTCTACCCTGGGCATTCAGGCCTTTGTGTTCAGGCAGTTTATGCTGCCCTCTCTTGCAGCAGCATCGACTGAAATGGTAATTTACTCCCAAGAGGGGGTTGAGCCACATACACATATATTCTAATGCTCCTGTATAATAAAACAAAGAAACAATAAAACAATGAAACCAGTGTCATTTTAAAAGTGTGCTATGAAACTAAGCTCCTACAGCATTAAGGTCCTCAGAGTTCTAAAGCCTTCAGTTCTTTTATCTTTATTTAAAAGTTCTTCAAACTAATTTTAATTATATTAAGTTACACACCAAAAACTGCATTGCAAAGTCAAGCACTCAAAAATTAGGAAATGGCAGAATTAATATTGCCTGCGCAACTTTAATTGTCCCTCTTATGCATATGCATTATGACAGCCTTCAACTACATAATCACACATTTTTTTTACCCCATGTAACCCCTCCCTCAGTTGGTGCACAGAATGGACAGTGCTCACTAAATGATCAGCTAATTAATAGTTTGTTTTATCCTCGTTGTTCAGAGCGTGGTCCCATGTCTTATCTACTGCACACTATTCAACCCTGCTCTGAAGATAGAATTATTGATTTCCTCATGGGCTGCTATTCAGTGCTCACACTATAGTATTTCAGTGCTTCACAAACCCGTAATGAATTTGTTTTCTCAACACCATTGTGTGGTGAAGTGTTATTATTAGTTCCATTTAACAGATAGAAAACTGAGCCACAGAAAGATTAAAATCAAAATGATCACTAATTTTGAGAGTCCAATCTGAGGCACCTACAGCCTGAATTTTCAGAGTACTTAGCATTTCATGGCACTTTACATGTTCAAAGCACAGCTCCTTATGACTTCAGTTGCAGCTGTCAGCGCTTACCCAATCAGACCCCAAGGCCTCAAGCTGGGCACCCAGAAAATGACAAACACAAAGTTATAGGCCAGCTTTAAAAAGTTTTGGTTTAAGTGACTTGACCAGCATTACATAGGAACTCTATGGCAGAGGCAAATACATTTCTCTAGAGCAGCATTCAACTGCTTGAACTATGAAACCACCCTTTCTATTCCTGCAGTCCCTTGCCTCATTCACTGCACGCTTTCCAACTTCTGCAACAAAGGAGACAGGGCTTTTGCAGACAACAGCCTACATAACCCTGATTCATCCTCAGAGACCATCCATCCTGTGTGCTGAATGAGCTGGGGCCCTGTGGAATAAAATAGTATGTGATTACGTAATTGAAGAGTATAACATAATGCAGTCGCACAACTCCATATTAACCAATGCAAAGAGAACTGAACTTTTGTTTTTGTTCCCCTGGATTATGTTTAGATGCAGCAAAGGTTTAAAAAGTTTTCTGTTTCTTTTATATTAATTGAACCTTTGCACTTCCAATCTATTTTTATCCTGTTTATTCAGACCCTTCAGAGTAAAAGAATTGGAACAACGCATCAAACAACATACACAAATGATGAAAGAAAGAAGAAAAAAGTCAAAAGGGACACCCCAAGAGGAAATGCAGAGAGCAAAACAAGACTTTGAAATTGTAAGTGTCATAGCTTCACTTTGACTTAATTCAGTCATTGGTTTAATTTGATTTTTCATTAATTTGATCAAATCCTCAGGCACCAAACGCTTTATATTAAAAATACTAATTTCACATTTGACTTTGGTCACTTTAATTAAGATTATTATTGCATAATTCAATGATTGTGTATAGAAAGTTGCAGTTTCATTAAGATTGATGCTAAAATCTTGAAGATAGAGGAAAGAGTCCAAGAAAGGCATAATAGATGGTAAAAGGTGAATGCAACTACAAGTGATGTAGATATTTTAATATTATAAGAGCTACCATGTGCTGTGCAAGTTGCTCTATGATTGTCATGTTTCAGAGTAACAGCCGTGTTAGTCTGTATTTGCAAAAAGAAAAGGAGTACTTGTGGCACCTCGATTGTCATGTAGCTATAAAGGTGAAATCCAAAATTTTCAGAAATGGGAACCTACAGTTAAAATATGGACTTAGAAGTCCATATTTAGACATCTAAATAAGTGGCCTGATTGGTTAGGTAATATCACATTTTAGCCAAAATCAGAATGAGATGCTTCATGATAAAATAGGCCTCTATTTTTCATTTAGACTATTGTATTTTTTAATTTGTTTTCTGTATTCAGTAAAATCCAGCAGTTCCAAATCAATTCTTTAACCAGTGACTGATTCTGCAACTGCAGGCTAGGCGAATCCAGATTGTCTGTTTGTTCATTTATGTGAGGGATTGCTATATGCTGATTTAAATCAAATAGTTCATTTTCCAAGTTTCTATATATATTTAGTTTAATTTTTTATAGGTTTTTATAAGATTTTTTAAAAGACCATTTTGGAATAGACTGCCAAGGTCCCAATCCTGCAAAGATTTGCACATGTACTTCACTATAAACTTTGTAGATTAAGTGAGTGCATAATTCTTTGCAAGATGAGAGTCTAAGGGCATGTCTACACTTACCTCCGGAGCGATCGATCCAGCAGGGGTTGATTTATCGCATCTCCCCTTCCACCCCCCAATGTAGACCAGACCTAAGAATTTGTGAAACCTACAGATGTATTACACTGGCATATTAAAACCATCCATTTCATTACACTTTACAAAATTCAAGATGTGCTTAACAGCAAAAGGGAAGAAAATGTTATCAAAAAGTGAAGTACTATCTTTAAAGAATGAAAAACTTTATGAAGATTTATAACATCTACCATGAATTTCCTTCAAAATTCAGGATTTACTACAATTTAAAGAATAATATATATGTAGGAATATGAATCCTGCTTTTTCTTATACTGGCAAAGGAGTAAATGTATGTATCAGTGTGAGGATTAAAATACCTAGAAATAACGTTTATTGTTAACAGGAATCATGCATATCATCATAGGCCTGATTCTCAGCCATAGCCTCTATTTGTGTGCATGCAAAATTGCCTATGCACATACTTGCACCCACACTTTGCAGGTGCAAAAACCTGTATGCGCTCGTTTGAACTTGCCTAATGCAAGCACATACTTAAATATTAGAATTCACATCTGCAAATCCATGTTTGACTTTTGTGGTTGCAAACTCTGAACACTGGCACACAAGCCATTTTTAAAGTGTATACACAGGTGTTCTACCTGCGAAGTGTAGGTGCATGGATGTGTGTATGCAGTTTTGCATGCACACAAATGGAAAATGTTTAGATACCCTGCTGAAGACCTGGCCCGATAAATCTATGCAGTTCCTTCTTCGGTTAAATATATAATATTATTCAGATAAATTAGACTTTTTAAAAACTTTTTCTGGTGATTTTATTTCATTTTTTATCATAGGCTGAAAAGCTTCAGGCTGAGCTAGCACAAGTCAAACAAGAACTTCAGCAGGAGTATCGGTTTACTGCCTTCACAGGCGAGCCTGTTCCTGATTCACCGAGAATGCAGCCTCAGAATATCTTTTCTACCATGAAATTTTAATTGCCTGAAATTCTTTCAAGAACATTTGTCTTACAGTATCCATCTGTATTGGAAAGCTCCTTTTCAGTAGGCTTTAGAAGTGCTCCTTTTATTACCTATTTTTGTTGATTGTGTTTAACAAAGTTTTAAATTAGAATGATAATAAATCATTCTATCTTGCCCACTCAACTAACATAATTTCAGTAGATTTATAGTTACACGGTTATAAAGTGTTTTGGGTGTTATATTGTGTTTCTTTTACTATTTCTTTTTGACCTTCTTAAGATCCCATTCTGCAATTTTTACTCAAACAAACCGCCTGTTGAAATATGCTTCAGTTTAAGTTTTGCCTAGGTGGGAATTGCAGAATGTATCCTTTACATTGTACATTATTTGAGGCAAGAAACTTTTTTTATTTGTATGTTTATGAAGTTAAAATACCATGACCACCTACAGTGCTATATAAATGAATAATGTAAAGAATAATGTATCCCCAACTACGCACTATATCTTAAGGCTGCATCAGGGGATTCTGGTGTCATAGCCACCACATGAGTAATTGTTATAGTGCAGCTCTGCTATCTAAGGATACTTTTCAAATGCAGGAAGATCCTGGGCACTAGAAATATGATTGTTTGTTTATTTTTCTTCAATGAATAAAACATTTAAGCATTTTATTTTCAACTTTCTTTCCCCTAGGTGGCATCACTTTCTGTCTCCAGCACAATGATATAGGGCTTGGATCCTGTTTGCAGACAGTGGGAGCTAACAGCTCCAAAAGTGATCAGCTGCAGCTGGAGGGAATGTGCTGCCTGCTGCCCTCTAGTCCAGGAAGGAGATCCAGATGTTGGCAAGGCAAGGGAACCACTGAAGGAAGCAGGAGAAGGAGAAGTGTTGGGAATATTCTGCTATAGCTAGTGACCCCCCTCTTCCCTCTCCCCCCCTCTCCCCATTTGAATGAGTGGAGAGGAGACAGGAAAAGACTGGAGGAAAGACTTCTAAAAGAGCATTGTAGCCAGGAATAGAAAGCAGCTGAGCAGGAAGCCAAGAGTATAGCAAGAGATTTGGGGAGAAGAGCACTTCTGTATGGGAGATAGGTGGGATAGTGATTGGGATAGGGAGGACAAGGGACAACCAAACAAGCCAGCTGTAGAGAGGTGAGGAAGAAGGGAGTGGGGCTGGAGTCAGTCCTTTTGAAGGGATCTATTATCAATCAATTCCTTCCCCAATCTCCCAGCAGTTGTGTCTGTAGTACCCCAGCAAATTCCTCTAAGTAGCTCCCTTGCTTTGTCAGGGTCTGGATCACCCTGCTAGTGAAGGGGAAGCAAGTGACAGATTATCTCAGGCTGCTGCTAAATGCCTTCAGAGCTGTCATCCTCTGAAATCGAATCCCTTCAATATCAGGCTGCAGCCAGAAAGTGGGGCCTCCCAAAGGAGAGAAAGAGAAAAGGTAAAAATAAAACACTTGAGCCTGAATCACCACAGTGTGACACCAATTGTATAGGAGTGTTACTCCATTGAAATCTGTGGAGTTACCTAGATGTAACACTGGAGTCACGCACTAGTGTATGAAGACCTTCTGCCTTTCTTTTCAAAGCAAAATCCCCATTATTTATTGTACTAATGCCCAGGAGTCTCCTAAATGTAGAAGTCTTTAGTATTTAAAATGGTGCTAATGACCCTTTAATATCACGAGAACCCCAGAAGGAAACAGTGGATAATTTCTGAACATTATGTCTGTTATTTCATTTTATATATTGAAATACAAGTCTTCCCTCCCTGTCTGGTCTTTGGCTTCTCCCCTCTCAGCCTCCTCTCCTCGTTTCTGGAGTCATTTGTCTTTCCGCTGCACTCCATGCCTCTCTGAGGTTTTTCACCTTTCTCCAGCTTGAGGGTGTAAATTTAAAACTTACCTGAACTCCAAATGTTTGTGATTACAGTTTGATTGAAATATGGCCTGCTACTGGGGCACAAAATCAGGGTCATGAAACAGCTCTCTGGTGGCAGGAAGCGGTGCTAGATGGGGAAGAGTTGAATTCACGGTTGGTGGGAGGAGTGGTTCCTGTGGGGAAAATGAGGTGCAAACCTGTGGGGTATCCTGTAGAGGAATTTTTTTTCGAGGAAGAGGATGGAGAGGACAGAGAGGAAAGGGTTGCTAGCAAACAGAATCCAGGAGTGGCTGGTATTGCTGGTACTTCAGAATATGTGGCCCAGTTTGATCATGTCTTAATCTGCTCCTGGATACATATAGTTTTACGTGTTCGTATTTTGGAATCAAATACTGATTAATAATAAGGATTCAATACCTACTGAGTCAAGTTCTGCTCTCACACAAGTGTACAGTCCAGAGTAACTCCCTTAGGGTATGTCTACACTACCTGCTGGGTCGGCGGGCAGCAATCGATCCAGTGGAGGTCGATTTATCGCATCCAGTCTAGATGAAATAAATCGACCCCGGTGCTCTCCCTTCGACTCCTGTATTCCTCCACCATGAGAGGCACAGGTGGAGTTGACAAGGGAGCGGCAGCAGTCGACTCACCGTAGTGAAGACACTGCAGTGAACAGGTCTAAGTACATTGACTTCAACTACGTTATTCACGTAGCTGAAGTTGCGTAACTTAGATCGATCCCCCTGCAGTGTAGACCAGGGCTTAGTTTTAATGGAATGTCTCTGGATTGGCGCTGTTGGAAATGAGATTGCAATTTGGCCCATTTTTTTGTATGACTGCTAACACTGTAAAATGTTGTTTAATCATTCTGTTCACTGTTTCCATATATACTAAATGTGTAGCAATGTACAGTTAGCCGTTAAAAACGCTAACATTGAAGAGAAAATACAAAGCACTTGTATACTAATCACTTAAATATAAAGTGATCATATAAAGTCAACACAATTATTTTTACCTGAGCACTAGTTATTTTTAAATTCAAGACTATTATTAAAATAAGAGTTTGGGTCTGGCCAGATTATTTAAATGGCTAGTTTACTGTTGTTGTAAAATCTGCATTGTAAGCTGTTTTGCTCAGTGCAGCATACATTTGCCTCTGCACCCAGTCACTATTTTGGCTGGTGCAAAGGTGGGAAAAGGCCACAGCTCCACCATCATTCTGCCTTTCCCTGCCTTCTCTGAAGATGCTAGCACCAGTTGTGACACTGGCTACTGCCAAGCACAATACCAGCACTCCCCTTGTGCAAATGGGGAAAACCCCTTGTGCCCTCTTTCCACTCTGCACAGTCTTAATTTGCACAAACATTATGGGCCAAATTTGTCTCTTGTTTGTCCATCTTTTTAATAGAAATGTCACTCAATCTACTGTCAGTTGCATTGATGTAGATTCAGTGTAAATAAAGTCCATAGAGTTGCTTTGAATGTACATGAGTGGAACTGAAAGTAGAGGTGGTTTTTTTTATCATTTGTTTGAAAGCTTGGATTTTATAAAAAGGGGACAAAAGAATAAAATATCTTGCTACTTGAAACTTATGTTTCCTCTGCATCAAATTTCAGTGAGATAACATCAGCATTGTTTAATTTATAGTCTCTTACTTTTGTTGTCCCAGGAATTATGTAAATATCAAGTCTTGTAAGTAGACTTCCAGTGAATGTGGAACGTCTTGCTTTCAATGATACTTCAGAAGGTTGTTTTCCTTCTGCAGTTCACTCTGGATTTCTCTGTCCTTGATAGTGTCAATATTCTTCTTTATGTTTTCACATTGCTCTCAATGTATTTTCAAGGTTCTGAAGATCAACAGGAAAGTCAAGGCTGATTGTCTGAAATCTATAAACTGTCCTCTAGGTACTATGGTTAGCACATAAAGTGGTTTCCACACTAAATAAATACCAGGTCAATGCCATTTTTTTCAATTTTTCAATTTTAAATTTTGCCATTTAAATTAACAGAGAAGAACCTTGAGCAGTGAAGGTAAACTTTTGCTACTTTATTTGGGCAAGTCTCTACATGAAACTGCCCTTAATCTTTAAAAAGTGAAAGTCAGAGCCCTATTCTGCAGTCCTCAGTGAAGCAAAGTTCTCATTGCCTTCAAAGAAACTTTATTATGAGCATACTTTCAACTGTGTAGATTAGGTCTAAATGTGATCTTGAATAAACTGGTATGAGCTTATTAAAAGTATACCTAATATTTGTAAAGGGTGATCAATAGTTCAGACAAGTCTTACTTCAGTGGGTACTTTTCAAAATTTAGAAAAATGTAAGGTAAATATAGAATTGAAAATAACAGAATTATGAGAGTGTAGAGTTTGATTAACACCAAATGTGGGGGTGAACTGCCTTTTGAGAAGTTCTTGCTCATATCCAACATGCAGATGCAAGCCATCATGGGAGTGAGGAAGTCCAGAGTCTAATTCTGGCTCTGTCACCAACTTGCTATGTGTTACTTTGCAGCCACTTCTCTCTATAAATGGAGATAGCTGTACTTATCTACCACAAGGTGTGGTGAGGATAAACAAATGTTTCTATTATTCTTTCAATATGTAAAACCCTATAGCATTGATTACTAATAGATTGTACAGAGTTAGAGTGATTGACAAATTTGGATTAGGGAAAAAAACTTCTCTTTAGGGCACATTTAAGAAAGGAACTTAGCTTCGTCTTTTGTTTGTTTGTTTGTTTGCCGTCCCCCTTCTTTGAAGCACTGAGCCAGGATCACAAATTAGGTGCAAAATGACATGTCTCACAAGATCTATTTCTTACATTTTCAGGTGGACTGGTGTAGGTGGACTTTAGGCATTCTTGCCTTGCATGTTATGTGCAGCTTAAAAGGCTTTAAAAGTTATCAAAGAGAGGTTTGTCTTGCGTGGTTCTCTTCTGGATCAATAACTCTGATTAATGGGAGGTAGAGACTCAGCAGTGTTTTTCATTTGATTTTGAACAAATATAAATGAGATTATTTATTGCTGTGTGGGTTCTATTTGTATCTTCTCTGACATTTTCTGCTTAAACAGAAGTGAATTCATATTCTCTTATTCCCTTTTCAGGAGTACCAAATCTCCAAGGGGGATTGTGGGAAAGATGTGCTAGCACAAAAATGAATCATGTTCTGTCTTTGTACGGGCAGCAAAGAGTGGTCAGTTCAGGCGGTGATGATGGTTAGCAGAGATGCAGTTTGGTGCACTAATAACCATTTTGGACTTGTAATGCATTCCTACAAATTGAAAAATACTCATTTCTGGGGATATGGCAAAACAGAAGTAGCACCTCTGACATAAGTGCTGGAACTAGGGATGCTGTCGTACCCCCTGGCTTGAAGTGGTTCCTTCATATACAGGATTTACAGTTTGGTTCAATGGCTCTCAGCACCCCCACTATACAAATTGTTCCAGCATCCCTGACCGCTCTCACAAAGATAAACAAGTACTTAAGGAACCAGACTACACTACACTTTGACTTTCAAGGTCTTTTATGACTGTGCATAAAACAAGCTCTGATCCATTCATTAAACCTCTCTTTTTTTTTTTTTACCATATTTAATCTTACCTGTGGTATTTCTATTGTAATTTCTGTATAAGTTTCAGGTTTTCTGTCTCTTAACAAATATAATTATAATTATAATTATAATTACATCTGGAAAAACTGTTAAAAGAATGTTAAGGTTGCAAAGTAAAACATTCAAAAGTTAGGAAATGCCAGATTAAAGGTTCTCTGTGCAAGGTTAATTCAGCCCACTTGTACATATGCATTAGGATGCAATCTTTAATTACATGATCACATGCTATTTTTACACAGGACCCTGCCTCATTCAGTAACTTTGTAGCTGGTTAGTCAAGATTTCTTTAATCTTCAACATTCAATTTATAGCCCAGGCCTTATTTAACGTACATCGCATGGTTTGTTGGGGATATAAATGTTCCCCACATGGTTTGTTTGCAATCAGTCATTGCAAGAATGTGTAGTGCATGAAAGCCAGAAAGTGAAACTAAACAGAAAGATGAAATTGACTAATCTACTTTCACTGTGAAAGATGAAGTAGAAGATGTAATAGTCTTGGGGTTCATTAAATAACAAACTAGTGAAGGAGAAAGGAATAAAACTTTAATAAAACAAACTGGAGAGCTTGTGCAGTGAGCTCCTGCACACAGACATGTGGTCTTCCCACTACCCTTCCTCTTCCCTGCCTGCCTCCAGGACACATCTCCAAATTCCCATACTCACAACTCAGTCCCTTATGAAGGAGTGTCTCTAAATTATAATCTTCTACAAACATATCTCCACAGCAGAAGTAAAAAAAACAAATAACAAAATGCACACAAAAAATAAAGTAGATTTTTTAAATTATTTCACTGTAATAATAGTGTAACGTTTGTTTGGTTTTGAGTAACTCAGGTAATCCTGGCCCTGTTGAAGTCAATGGGAGTTTTACTATTGATTTTAATAGGGCAGGATTTCACTCTGTTTGTCTTTTTGAAAATACTGGAACAAATTCTTAGCTCCTCTTCCGGCTGCTTTTTGTTGTTCAACTGGTGCAAAGCAGCTGGAAAGCTGCCCTAACAGGAACATAGAGGAATTCCCGAGGAGGCATAAATCTGGTATAATTGGCTCTACACCTCTTGCTCTTGGACCCCAAATATAGAGGGTGTGTTGGTGAAGGAGAACTTGGCATTCCAGTGATCCTTTTCTGGCAGAGCAATCCCTAGGGCAGGGGTAGGTAACATATGGCACGCATGCCAAAGGCGGCACACGAGCTGATTTTCAGTGGCACTTACACTGCCCGGGTCCTGGACACTGGTCCAGGGGGCTCTGCATTTTAATTTAATTTTAAATGAAGCTATTTAAACATTTTTAAAACCTTATTTACTTTACATACACCAATAGTTTAGTTATATACTATAGACTTATAGGAAGAGACCTTCTAAAACATTAAAATGTATTACTGGCACGCGAAATCTTAAATTAGAGTGAATAAATGAAGACTAGGCACACCACTTCTGAAAGGTTGCCGACCCCTGCCCTAGGGACTATTACTCTTGGAGTAACTGAGAGCAGACCTTAGGCTACACTAATTTACACTGAGGGCCAAACAGCCTCCAGCTAGCACTCAGATGAGAAGAGTGGTAAAATAGCTTAGAGCAATGTTTTCCCCTCACTCCCTTTGGATGCTATGCCAATCACAGCTCAATCAGACCCATGGATCTGACCGGTCATATTTAACCTACGGTATTTCTCTCTAAATGTACTTTGCTAAAGGGGATGCATATAACTCTCCCAGTGTTATTATTTATTCGAGTTGGTTGCACTGCTAACATTGGATTATCGTTTGTGTGGTACTGATGTTTTATTGCTGTTTATTGTTAGTGTGCCATGAGGCTGATCAATAGATGCATTATATAGATATGAAATAAATAAGAATATTGTGGAAGCATGATTTCCTCTCTATGACGACTGAAGTTTTGGCAACAGCTGGTTTTGATGCATCCAGAGGAATTATCATCATTGAGCCTGGACATATGTTTGGATCCCTGGAATTTAAAGGGCCAAGGATTAAACTGCCATACACTACTTTGGTGATAATTATCTCTACAGGATTCCAGAACTGGAAACAACATGAAGTGATTCATGTCCATATTTAATTTAACAGCTCACTTTATGAAAGAGAAATGTCCTCCTAAACAATGAGCACATTTTCATGGCTGTCTTCTGATTATGACTTTTTTTTGGATCACAAATGTGATTTGTATGATGCCTAATCCATTTCATTATCGCATAAACCACCTTTCCTTTTAATGTCTCCAGGTTTTCAATAGCTGGCTGGGCAAAGGTCCCAGCAGTCTTTTCCTGTGTATCTGTACAACTGCAGACTGAAATACACAAACCAAATGTACATAAAGCACAGTGGTATATATAAAAGTCAAGTAAATAAAATATACTCAATATCACTCATAGACCAACATTTTTAATCCTGGTGGCCTAACTCCCAGGATCAGGCCTCAACAACAACAAGAATTCTCTGACATAGATTTATAAACATAATCAATTCCAGAAATTTCAAACTTGGGTGCCTAAAGTTAGGCTTCTAAAATCCGTATTTAGGCACATAAATAAAAATCCTGATTTTTACAAGATGCTGGACACCTCCAGCTCCCATCCGGCCACATTTATTTAGACATCTATCAACTGAGGAGCCTATGTACTTGCCCCATGTACTTTTTCATATATTTGGCAAAGTACCTTTTTTAGTTCAGCTGAATAAGTTTATGCTGAATACTTTGAAGATAATTGGAATCTGCCTAATAATTTTAATATATAACTTTATAATCATTTTAATGTCCAATGTGACAAACATTTTGCTGGGTTTGTCTATTTTAAACAGCTTAAATTTGGAACACTGCTAAAGATGAACTTGGACATAAAACTTATTCCTTTAATTCTCAAGTCTATTGTCCAGTTAACTGTTTGCTTCTGCTTTGGACTGTAGAATTAATCTGCACTGGTTTGACTACTTGGTGATGAAATGCCAGAAATATTACAAGAAGCTACTGTCATTATGTGCCAACATTTCTACACTGTTTTATGCTGCAAAGGTAGCTTTCCAGATGCTGAATATTAACTGACTCCGCTTTAGATCAGGTTATTAAATCTGCTCCGCCATTTTTCCTTCCCTGGACAGCATTGGCGTTGGATTACATCAGTATGCTTCACTATATATGATGATATATCACATGAATACATCATTAAAGTGACAGCTTGTTCTGATGATGAATTATCAGTGTACATTATGTATTTCTCACAAGAAGCTGCAGTGTGGAGAAAAGCAAATCCAGTAGTGGATTTAGCTAGAGATGAAAAGCATGTGCTAAGGTGCTTTTATGGTCCCAAATGCTGGGGACCATGTAGATATAGACTGTGCAATAATACCAATATGCTGTAATTTGCTGTTATGTGCATCTGTGTACTGAGAGGACACTGATATCTTTTAAAGTCATAAGATTCTGCCAATAATGTTGCCAGTCTTATTTGTTCTGTGGTGTTTGTCCAGTCAAAGTGCAAAGGAAGAAATGACTCTAAGGGTATGTCTGCACTGCCATTAGACACCTGCAGCTGCGCCACGCCAACTGACTCAGGCTCAAAGGGGTTGTGCTTAAGGGGCTGTTTAATTGCGGTGTAGCCATTTGGGTTCAGGCTGGAGCCTGGGGCTCTCGGACCCTGCACAGTGGGAGGGTTGCAGAGCCTGCACCCCAAGCCGGAACATCTACCCCACCATTAAACAACCCCTTGGCTTGAGCCCCGCAAGCCCAAATCACCTGACACAGGTCAGCCATGGGTGTCTAATTGCAATGTGGACATACCCTCGGAGCAAGCTTCACCATCTCACCATCTTTCCTGGTAGAAATACTACTACTCTTATGTAGTGCTTTTCACAGCACTTTACATGGTAGCTCAGTATCATTATCCACATTTTACAGAGGGGGGCCTGTGGCACAGACAGGGGAAATAATTTACCCAAGCACCTAGCACGCTAGTAGCAGACCTGGGAAAAGAACCCAGGTTCTTTATCAGTAAATTTTTCTCCAGACATTGTTGCCAAAGAGGTTCTTTATTCTGAAGTGCTTACAGAAGGTTGAAAGAAGGGGCCCACTGTCTCTCTCCTCCTGTTGTTGTGGGGTTTTGGAATCCATTCTGAGCATAAACTTATTAGCCATAACCCTGCCACTTCCCAGTCTGCCCACAGTGCCCTTCTCTGCATGCATCCACCCCAACCCCCGAGTCACCCCAGGCCATGCCAATGGGCCCACTGGCTGGCCAGCCCAAGCCCTGGGCCAGCCCAAGCCACCCCAGTTGACCCGACCCCCACTGGCCAGCCCAAGCTGCCCCGGCTGGCCCAGACCCTGGCCACCAGCCGAACTCCAGACATGGCTGGAGCTGAGCCGCTGCTGGCTTCGGGGGGGCAAAACATGGGCAGGGCCACAGGCTGGGTCAGGGAAGGCTAAGCCTTCCCTCACCTATGATACCCACCGCTGCTACTCGAGTCTGTCAACCTGGCCTCTGAGCCTCGCTGCCACAGGTTGTGTGTAGACATACCCTCAGAGTCTGAGTTTTCACTAAGTTTAAGCTGTTAAGGGAAAGAAATTTAGTCAGGCCACTTAAAACTCTTTGCTTTTTTTAATACCTATTTAATTTGTTAAAAAATAAATTAACAGTGGCTCCTATTGTTTCGGCTACCTATCCCATAAAGGAGCATAACTGCTTTTTTATTTATCCTGGATGAGAAGCGGCTGTTATGCTTACATGCTTCAACAAGGTTTCGCCCAACCCTCAGCATTACAGGCCTACCTCTGCCTGCTCTTACACCTCTCCCAGGTTCTCCAGCCAAACCAGAATTTAAACTCCGCATATTTCTAAGTTAAAAAAATTGAAGAGAAAAATTGTGCTTATCAAACAAACAATTTTTCAGGCCTTCATACATCATAGAAAAGCAAAAAGAGGGCACAGGATCAATTTTTAAAAAATCTTTTACATGTCACCTTTAAAAGTGACTTTTTTGTGTGTATTATAAAAATGGAATGATTAAACAGGAACAATAATAATTTTCATTCCTAAGGCACCTACTATACAAGAATCTCAAAGCACTTTACAAATGGTAACAAATTAGATGAGGTAGATAAGTATTACTATCCCCATTTTACAGGTGGGGAAGCTGAAACACTGAGATGTAAAGTGCTTTACACAGGTCATAGAGGAGACCTCTGGCAGAGCTAAAGAACCCACATCTGCTGACTCCCATTCCTGTGTCCTAACCACAAAACCATCTTTCTCATTCATACTATTTACTGCGAAACACAAGCGTATAAATCAGATGTATGCAAATGAGAATTTATTGTGTAGAAAACAAAAGTGAGAGTAAAAAAACTCTAAATAACCCAGATGACTCACCCCAAGGGACACTTCCTACTTGTATATTTAAGCATGTGCATAAGGATTTGCATAGGAATGGAGCCTAAACTTCTTCATTTCTGTATCAAATTGCAACACTTTTAACAAGACTCTGGTTACCTTTTTATCAACTACACTGGAAAAAAAGGAACAATACTAGAGGAGTTTCCATGTCTAATCAACTGCTTGCCAGACTAACTGAAGGATTCTTTGGTTAAAAGGAAACTATAATGTTAAAAGTCATATAAATAACCCGTGCCTGCTGTATGTTACTAATAAATTCTTGGACTATTAAACTGGTGGCATTTAGAAGTCTAATTTGTTTCACTATTTTAGCTCTTTATTTTTTCATTTCTCAGCTTGGGCAATGAAAATAAAGTATTAGTTTCACTTTCTGATTTTCTCACAGTGGAACAATGCTGCGGTGCAGAAGAATTGTTTAAAAAAGCAGCTCCGATTGGAATTTGAAGAAAAATCATAGAAACGTTTCTACTAGTTTTAGTTTTACAATGCATACATTGAGGGTTAAATCAGATGAAGCAGAATGTATGTATTGAACAGCTATTACGGTCCATTTTTAACCTAGCAAGTAAACTGTATGGTTTTATATACTTTGTATCCATTTGCCCACTGTTTCACTCTTACTTCTGCGCAGATCAGAGGACTGCAATAAACAGAATTTTTTAAAAAAATCTTCAATACCTGCTTGTGACAGAAATATAATATGAAAATTGGAGCCGTATTTTTAACCTGCGGGAAAGCCGTAACCTCTCGGCTCAAAACATGTTTTGATAGTTTTCTACCTCAGGTTAGGCACCCCCTCCCACCACCACCAACTTCAAAATCGTCTCAAATGCTTCCAAGACCAGCAGTTTAATGCCTTTCATTGGGAGGCTGCCTGCCAAAACCGAACCACAGCCTAATTCCCTAGAGACTACTGCTAACATCTCCCGCTCTGTTCCAGCAGAATTTAGCTACCAGCCTTCCCCTCCGCAGGGAGATGGCTGTTGCTTTGCTGTGACCAGTGGGGCTGCCTGCCATCTTTGAGGAGGGAGCTCAAGAGGACCCAGAACGGAGGAATGTGGTTGACTCAAGGTGGCTACTGCAGCAGCGCTCGCTGCCCCGCCAATCCTGGCGCGCCACTGAAGCTTGTCAGACGCAGCAGCCGCTCCAGTCCCTAAGGCGGGGGCGGGGCTTCCCCGCCCGGAGCCGCCGGAGAGGTCAGTCCTGGGGAGCGAATGCCGCATTTAGCCGCTAGGGGGTGCGTGTTGGAAACGGAATGCCACATAGTAACCTCTCTAAATTGTCAAACACTGTAATTGTTAAAGGGCTGGAGACTGATCGCGCAGGTAACGTGAGCCCTGGACTTTTCTCTTATTTTCAGTGCCTTTGCAGCGATTCTCATTTCTTAGGTTTTAATCCTGTTTTGGATTTTTGTTTTGCTTTGGGTTTGTTTTTCCCTCGCCCCCCCCCCCCCCCGCTTTTGGCTGCTCCTTTCCGTTTAGATCCTTATTACAGGCGACTCCAGTGCGACTAACTCCTTCTCCTGTTTCTCATGGTCAAACATTGACCAAACAAACTTAATCAAGATTGAAGTAATCGAGTAAACAACAGCAACAACACTGTAAGTTCAGTGAGCCCACAATACAGGTTTATTAATGTGTAACAATGTTCTGTGCATTTGTGGCTCACACCAAAAATGGTTTTAAAGGTATTAAAGAACTGCAGTATTTAGGTGAGGTGTGCTGAAGCTGTTCCTTTTGGATCCCGCAGATAATCCAGTTATTCTGGTTCAGAATTAGTTTTGATTGAACTGTACAGTGTTTTTTAAATTACCTTTATTACTATAAAAAGACAATTTGAGAGGAAACTTTTTAAATAACAATTTTCAATAAGTTTTAAAATAACTTGTTTTAATCTGTTAAACTAAATATAGTATGAAAATATATTTTTCTATCATGATTTTATAATACTTTAGTCAAACTGATCAGTAAAACACAGATTTTAAAATATCAGCAATGAATAGATGGGTCCAAATAAAAAGAGCCTAAACCTTGACATTTTTTCTTTGACCTAATATACTGTAGAATGTGTTTCATTTATTACTTTAATTATCTTCACTACCAGGGTGCTAGCCATCCTGTAGTTTCTCATTAAAAAGAAAAACTATTGTTTACTTTGCAAACAGGAAGTGCAACTTACTTTTTTAAAAAATATGAAGATGTAATTGGTAATAATCAGGGCCTTCAGTGGTCTCTTGGAATTTATATGTAATCACAAATTCTTTCCTATGAATGTGAGTAACAGTCTGGTTTCTATTTCACAGCTTTATTTAACTGAACTATTTCTAATACTATTGAACTTTATATAAAATAAACCATAATGATTATTAGATAATGAAAACAAGAGGTTTCTAACAGCATTGTTGTAGGCATATACAAGTAATGTGATGGTGGGATCTCGGATGGACAGGAAGGGCTGACTGACCTTGGACCCTTTCTGAATGCAGCATTGCTCAGTAAGAAGCAGTTAGCAGTTGTCTTTTCATAGTTACAGTGTATAGGCCAACTAGAGTAACAGTTCTGGAATATTTTAAATCTAGAGTAAGATTTACAACCTATGAGATTCACTCAGCACCCACAACTGGTAGCCTTTGACTGAATATGAAGGGAAAAAAAGCAGCTTTCACCTTCTTACTTTTAATCTAATGCGCTTCCAGATGAAACTGTTTTTTACTTCCTTGTTGCTTTGCCTTGACAGGCCTAAAAAGGAACCTGAACACTTGCCCATTGAGCTTTTGTTTGATTATTAAAAATAACATTGGTGAATTGCTACTTGAAACAATAATGAAATATATTTCACTTTAAACACATTTTAAAGGAGCCTGTTCAGTGTTGTGAGGACTCCCTCAGAAAAGAAAACATATTTTCCTGCAAATTCAGTGCTATATATAGAAGAGTTCTTTTCTCATGATTTATAGTAGCCACCTTCTAATGCAATAGATTTTTGCTCTACTGTCTGCTAAAAATTCGCCTTTTTTAAATGTACCCTAGGTATCTCTTTCTTATTTAAATGAAGAATAAGAACTGATTTAGTTTTTCCAGTACCACAATATATCATTTGGAAAAAGGCATTCTGGAAAACTGAATTTATATCACTTGAAATTAAACTAAAATAATAAATCCAGGTTTCTAAAGGCAGTTTTGCTCATTTGGAATCAGACACCTCATTTGGGATTAATTGTAAAGCAGTTTTTACAATATCTTTTACTTGTGATACACAATGCAAAATGCTTCATCAGTGAGGCATTTGAAATCTCATACATAATTTGTTGAAATTTCACTCCTTCACTTACAATTTGACATGTCTGCAGGCTGCAATTCTATAAGAGCAAGCTTTTGAGTTATAAAAATGTACTGATTGACAGGTGCTGAGAAAAGTGAGCTGTTCTTGGTGTCCTAGGAAAGCAAATTTAAGGTTGCAGTTAACCTTCTAAATGGATAAAAACAGGTTTCAGAGGAACAGCCGTGTTAGTCTGTATTCGCAAAAAGAAAAGGAGTACTTGTGGCACCTTAGAGACTAACCAATTTATTTGAGCATGAGCTTTCGTGAGCCACAGCTCACTTCATCACATCTGATGAAGTGAGCTGTGGCTCACGAAAGCTCATGCTCAAATAAATTGGTTAGTCTCTAAGGTGCCACAAGTACTCCTTTTCTTTTTTCTAAATGGATAAAAGTGACTTGCTGTATTTGCATACTTGTCAGCATTTGAATGCCATTCAGACAGCCTTTAAACACCATTGTAATACATTTGAGCTAGGATATCTTTTTTAGAGCAGCTGTATGGGAACATCTTATTTAGCTTTAAAAAAATAAAGACTGCTTCTTTCCCTCCCACATTATATAGGGACAGTTAACACCTATGGATCAGGAATAAATGATGATGTAGTTATCTTCCTAAGGAACAATTTGGGCCAGGAAAATTGTTTAACATGTCTAAATAATCAAGATGTAGCCTGGTGAGGATGGTATAATTATGTCCTAGAGGAAAGGGGCAGAAGGGGGAACAATCTTAATCTAGCCTATTAACATATTATTGCATATGGAGTATTCATCCTCCTGGAACCCAGGGAAAAGAGGGTGACTCCCCGATCCTTTCAACGTGCTATGGGCCTGATTCTCCTGCAGCCCAATGTAGGGCAGAGCGGATACGCACTGACCCTTTAACATGTTGTTGCACATGGTGCTGTGAGGGCAGAGCGGAGACCCCTGGACTCTGATGTTACCGATGTGGTATTGTGGGGGAAGAGAGGAGACCCCCTACCAGGCCCCGCCGTGAGCGGCAGTAGCCGCCTTAGTCTTCCTGGCATGCTCTTCTCTAATAATCACCCTGAACTGTAGCCAATTGTTGCAGGATTCGGCCGTGGAACGTTCCCGGGAGGGAAGCATTGTGACGTCAGCGCACCTACTAATCCTCCCAATTGAGGGGGAGCCTGGAGCCATGAGGTCATCGTAGCGGCCGGTGTAGCCATCCGGGCGGCGGCAGCGGCGGGGGAGGGGAGAGCAGAGCAGAACGGGCAGAGGGCCCAAGCGAGGCCGACTGGGAGCCTGCCGCGCTCCAGCTGTACTGAGGCGGACGCCGAGCTCCTGCAAGCATGGAGGAGGCTGAGGCGAAGGAGCTGCAGGTCGGCTCCTGGCTACCCGTGCTGGTGGAGCAGATGGTGAACGACACGTTGGTGGTCACCTTGAGCTGCGGGGAGAGGCGCTTCACTGGGATCCTCCTGGACTGCACTAAAAAGTAGGAGCCCTCAATGCTTTGATTGTTACCCAAAATATTTCCAAGGGTGATGATTGCAACTGAGAAGTTTTTTCTCTATAGAGTATGGCCTGCTGCTGCACAGAGGGATCAGAGCAGCTGGGGAGGAGGAGGGATTAGGCCATAATCAGATTAAAGAGTTAAGGTTGCATTGCACATTGCAGGTGGGGGAGGGGAGGGGAAAAAGTGTGGGGGGGAGCGGAGGGTTCTTCTAAAAAAGCAAACTCTGGATTTGGTTTCATTTTCTTTTCAAAAATCCAGCTTGGAAGGAGACTTTCAGAGGGTTGTTATCCAGTTACACTTCAAGATAAATTTGAAAATATTTTTCGGTGACCATCTTAGAAGCTTTGAAAAGAAGAAAAACCTAGTGTGAAAGTATTTAAAAGTAACTCTTTTTATGGGCATAGGTTACTAGAAAAAGTCTGGCCCCCATCAAGGAGGGGAATTGACCAAATCTGTTTAAGTGCCTTCACTGTCCCAGAGGCTGCTTGTAGAGTTAACGTTTTGTTTTGGACCAGAAACTGCACATTTGTCAAGAAAAAGGTTTTGTTGAATAAAAATATTAGAACTTGATAAAGTTCTTTTTAATGATGTTACGACTGTGTAGTAAGTCTGGGTGTGCTGGGTAGTGGTATGATGTCAGATACTGCCATAATTATAGACTTTCTTTCTTTGTTCAGGAATACCATATGCTTCAACAGCTTTATCTTCTGGGGAAACTGACCTGTTAATTTTAATAATGCAAAAATAAAAAGGGTATGGACATATTAGTCATGGGTTTTCTAGAATATTATACAAAAATGATCAGTTTAAGTAAAACACTTTATTTGCCATGTATTTGGAGCTAATATGCTTAGTACAAATTATTAGTGTGGTAGCAAGACTCTGATGAGTATATAAGCATACAATGGTGGAATACTTTTTATGTGCTTTGAGTTAACATATGCTGTGCATTTGCCATGTAATTGCAAAACTGTAACAAACGATCTGTTAGACATAATGAAATGTGTAATAGCCATTTAGATTGCTGGATAGCTGATCCTTATTTATTGTTAGTGGAAGGTTTTTTGTTTTTTTGTTTTTTTAGACCAAGTTAGAACTCGATTTAATCACACACAAATATAAAGGTTTGTTATTTTTAAAGTTTCAGATTAGCATATATGCTGTTTTTTAGCCAATTATCTATATTATGTCTTTATTTAATCCTCTGGTGTAGTAAAGTCCCTGGAATACATCACTGCAAGATAATGGGATCCTACTAGATGAGTGGTATGAGAAGAGAAAGTGGAGGCATTAATCAAACATATGTCTTTGCTTTCCTTTAGTTTTTATTTTCCGAGTGGGAACTGTAAATGTCTCCTGTTTTTTGAAGGCCTCAATTTTTTCCTTAATACATTCCTAGACTTTGCTACAGGCTTTCCCCCTCCCCACCCCCACCCAGCAGTGCAAAACCATTATCCTTTGACAATTATCCTACTGGCATTATCTCTTAATTAGATGTGCCAGAAAACATTAATACTAAAGTCATGTGTGTTAACATATGGCTTCATGTTAATTTTATCCATCTACCTCATTGTCTACAGTATGTGAAAGTGCTCAACTCAAACATTTTAAACTAAGATGCAGCTAAATGAGGGTTCACATGTTTTCCTTCTCATTGTCCAAGTAGCCAGCTAGCACTACTAATATCCAGTATCCCTAGAAATCCTTGCATTATGTAGTCAGCCATTGGAGAAGGACTGCAGCTTTATTGATTTCTCTCTGTCACTGAAGAAACTGAAGCCAATAATGTAGGTTCAATTCCAACATTTGAAGCTTTCCATTCTGGAATTTCTAGTATAGATCTGATGAAGTGAGCTGTAGCTCACGAAAGCTCATGCTCAAATAAATTGGTTAGTCTCTAAGGTGCCACAAGTACTCCTTTTCTTTTTACAGTGATCTTGTTACCATTCTTGTGCCTTCCCTCAGAAGCTTGCCCTGTTAAAATCGAATGCTTTTCAGTTTTCATTGCTCATCTTAAATCCTCAGGGTGGTGTTTTGGGGGTTTGTTTCTTTGGTGCTTTTTTATTTATTTGGTGGCCTTCTGATGTTCTTCTCTTATTTTATTTTGGTTGTGGATTCTACTGCAGCAGCAGGGTACCATGGCCCTGTCTTCTGCCACAATGCCATCATGAATATATTGTACCCACCTTGAAGTGGTCAAGACCTCTTCTGACATTGATGATAGTTGCCCCTGAAACGTAAATGCTAATTTTATTGAGAGTAGGGGTGATGTTCACATACCGCATGCTTTATTTCATTACAATGATCTTAAAGAATTGTTAGACAGTTAATAATAAAATAGCCTTTTAGACAGTAATGCTTGTTGTACTATTAACTTTAAAACTTTAAAAAAACAAAACAAAAAGAAGATTTCATTTCTCTTTCATTTGTATTTACATTCTGAGCTAGGGGAGGACTGTTGATTTATACATTTATTGAATAGTCATTTTCACTCTGGCAAAATTTGCCAGTGACTCCCTGGACAAAGGACGTGTGAAATGAGACTTTTTTTATTATTTCATTTTTACAAAATGCTTGAATAGTTATCACTTCCTCAGACCACTTCAGATTTTCCATAATCTTTGGGGCCAGATTTGCAAATATATTTTTGTGCCTTGACATGCAGGTAGGAATTTTTAAATGGATCCAGAATGGTACCTCTCTCCAAAATGGATTAGGTGCCTAACTCCTATTGTTTTTAATGCCTGCTACATACCTAACCTGTTCAAAACACTTTTGAAAATCCCACTAGACACCTATTTACATTTTTAAGCACTTAAATATCTGTAAAAATCTGGCCCTTAGGGTCCTAAGTCACTTTTGAAAATGGGCCTTACGCTTCTAAGTCACTTTGGCACTCTTGAAAATTTTACTTTTGGTGCCTATCCCTCTTTTTTCCTCCCCCCCCCCCCCTTAGGCTTTTGTGATGATTTTCCTCTTCAGTTGGAACAATAAGCTACTCCTCCATTTCTAATAGGCCTCTTTTGAGGCACTTAAGCGAGGTGTATACTATACAATTTTGTTGGCATAGCTATGTCTGTCAGGGATGTGAAAAAAACCACCACCCCTAATCAAGATAGTTGTGATTGTAAACCCCCCAGCATAAATACTTCTGTTGGTGTAGTTAATGTCATTTGGGGAGGTGTTGTTGTTATGCCTGCAGAAAAACCCATTCTGTGGCATATGCTGTGCGTACACTGGGCTATGCCAGTACAGCTGTATCAGCAAAGGCTGTGTAATGTAGATGAGCCTTTAGGATACTTTCAGAATTCTTCTCTGCCAATTCTAAGGTTAAGTCAGTGGAATGTTAATGTATGTTCATACTATCCCCAGTCCACAAGTTCCTGGCAAAATCAGTTACCTTAAAAATAATCTGAATTTGTGGAGTCCTCTGTTAGAGGATGAAACCCTCCAATTATCTGACAAATCAGATGCCCACATCCTGATGATATTTAACTATATAATCACATGGCAAAAATGGATGTATTAAAGTCATAGAACATAGAACATAGAATATCAGGGTTGGAAGGGACCTCAGGAGGTCATCTAGTCCAACCCCCTGCTCAAAGCAGGACCAATCCCCAATTTTTGCCCCAGATCCCTAAATGGCCCCCTCAAGGATTGAACTCACAACCCTGGGTTTCTGACAGGGAGAGGGGTAAGGAAGCCAAAATGGATTTAAGGCAAAAGATAGGGTTCTCTTTTTCCTGATTATAAGTAACCAATGTTAAATAGAAATAGGGTTACATGGACGGAAAAAAAGCATTTCTTGTAGAACTCTTTCCATTTCTTTGTGATGATTTGTCCCATCTTGGTGTTTACCTGCTATCACAAAGCTAAACAGAGGTACTTCTAATGTCCATCTTTAGTCTCTTTAAAAACAGAAATACTGCTGAAGATCTTTGTGATGACCCTAGTGATGTTCCATTGATTCAGTAATATTGGCTCTGCTTCAGCCATCTTGCAAAGAGATTCAGTAAAACAATTGGGAGCCTGACCCTTTCCTTTTAAGTGAGGTTGTGTGGTAAGGACTGAAAGATAGAGCTCTTTTTTTTTTTTTCCCTTCCAGCATCTATTAGGGATGAGAAACTTTTAATCACTCTAGCCGGAGGCTGATATGGAAGAGGGAATCCCTGAGTCATGTACAGTACTTGGCTACAGTACGTGGCAGCTAGACCTTTTCAACAGAGTTTGGATCCTGGAGCTTGTTGGTTAATGAGCCTCCCTTTTTGCAGGCCCCTGCCTAATATTCCAGTCAGTCTGTCTAGGTCAGAGGTGGGCAAACTATGGCACGCAGGCCACATCTGGCCCACAGGACCGTCCTGTCCGGCCCTTGAGCTCCCAGCCAAGGAGGCTAGTCCCCGGCCCCTCCCCCGTAGCCTCAGCTCGCTGTGCCACCAGTGCTCTGGATGGCAGGGCTGCGAACTCCTGCGTGGCTGGCTCCAGCTGGGCCGCACGGCTGCCAGTCCTGCTGCTCTGAGTGGCATGGTAAGGGGGTGAGGAGTTGGGGGGGGGGGGGTTGGATAAGGGTCAGGGGGTCCCGGAGGGCAGTCAGGGGGCTGTTGGATGGAGCAGAGGTTCGAGCGGGGTGGTGGTGGTCAGGGGATGGGGAACAGGGAGGGGGTGGGGGTGTGGATAGGAGTGGGGGCAGTCAGGGGATGGGGGGTAGGGGTTGGATGGAGGGGGTCCCAGGAGACGGTGGTCAGGGGACAAGGAGCAGGGGAGGTTGGATGGGTCAGGAGTTCTGAGGGGGGTAGTCAGGAGGCGGGAAGTGGATAGAGGGTGGGGACCAGCCTTTTTGGGGAGGCACAGCCTTCCCTACCGGCCCTCCATACAGTTTCAGAACCCCAATGTGGCTCTCAGGCCAAAAAGTTTGCCCACCCCTGTCGTAGGTATAAGCGTATGAATATTATGCCATATACTGGAGTATCTAGGTACCA